CCCCAAAGCACCGTGCCCTGCCCTGGGGGAGCACGGCGGGGGGGGGGGTAGGGGAGCCCCCCCCCCAGCTGCGCTGCTGCTGGTTTCAGGCCCCCCAAGCCAAGCTGAGGGTCTGGGAAGGGACCAGCAGCCCAAGGGACCCCCCCAGAGCAAAGCACCGGAGCTGAGGGGCACGGCCAGCATTGCCCCCATGGCAGAGGGAGGCCTTGGGGTGGGGGCTGACGCCGGTGCCTCCCGCAGAGATCGTGGACCAGCCCGGCGTGGACATCTTCGGGCAGGTCTACAACCAGTGGAAGAACAAGGAGTGCGTGTGCCCCAACTGCAGCCGCAGCATCGCCGCCTCCCGCTTCGCCCCCCACCTGGAGAAGTGCCTGGGCATGGGCCGCAACAGCAGCCGCATCGCCAACCGGAGGTGAGCGTGTGTGCGTGTGTGTCCCCCCCCAAGAAGCCGGGTTGGGGGCTCCCACGGTCCCCCCCTGGGTGGGGAAACTGAGGCACGAGGGGGAACTGAGGCTGTGGGGCTGCATCTCTTCTCGGTGGGGGGGTGCGGAGGATTTGGGCACCCCCATCTCAGCGCTGACGAGCCTGCAATGGAAACTGGGCATCCGGGCTCTCCCCGCTCCTCGCTCTTCATTGCGGGGGTGTGCATCCTTGCCCCCCAACCCTGGAGTCCCCCCTCCAGCTTCTCTTGCTCTATCCCGCTGCTTCCCGGAAAAACAAACTGGGAATCCTGGCTCCTCTGTGCCGCCCCTGCCCTCGATGGCTGCTGGGGACCCCTGTCTTGGGGCTGGGACTGTTTGGGGTGGGCATGGCAGAGCCGGTGGGGTGCGGGGTGGGTCCCGGGGTGCCGGGGAGGATGGGAGGGTGCAGGATGGATCCCGGCATGCCGGGGAGAGTGTGGGACGGATCCCGGCTGTGGATCCCTGACCTTCCTCTCCTCCCCGTACAGGATCGCGAGCAGCAACAACATGAACAAGTCGGAGAGCGACCAGGAGGACAACGACGACATCAACGACAACGACTGGTCCTACGGCTCCGAGAAGAAAGGTGGGGGGACGCGGGGTGCGCGGGTGCCAGCTCGGCTGGGGGTCCCGGGCCCCCCGTGAGGGGTGGGGGACGCGTCCCGCTTGCCCCGTGGCCCTTGACCCCGGGTCCTGGGCACGCGTGCGGTGGGTGGCGGGGTGAGAGCAGGGGTCCCCGACTTCCCCACCCCGTCCCTGGGGAGGGGGCGTCCCACCAGCGGGGGCGGAGGGGGGGCTGCTGGCGCCAA